TTACGGAACATGCACTGATACAAGTTAAAAATTGGAACTTACTGAATGTACAGGAAACAAAATGTGAATATCAAAATAATGTAATAAAAGCACAAACAGAATCTTGGCAAGGAAAAGCATTACGTGGTCAATTTCTACAAAAGATCAAGGGTAAAGTGGATAAAGATAAAACCTGGCAATGGCTTATAACTGGAACATTAAAAGAGGAAACTGAAGGCTTGATTTTGGCTGCTCAAGAGCAAGCTATTCAAACTAATACAACCAAAATCAATTGCATCAGTTGAATTGAAAAATCAATAAACGATTCAAAGTGCAGATTGTGCAAAGAAACAGAAGGAACAGTAGATCATATACTCAGCTCATTCAAGAAGATCACACAAACTAACTATAAACAATGACATAACACAGTCACCAAAATGATTCCCTGAAACATCTGTAAAAATTATCTGCCAGTAATGAAAAATTGGTGGTAACATATAGTTGAAAAAGTAGTAGAAAATGAGCAGGTTAAAATTCTGTGGGATCTCTGAATACAAACTGATAAACACACACCAGATTTAACTGTGGTTGAAAAGAATAAAGTGTGGATAACTGATGTGGTAATACTAGGGGATAGTAGAATAGAAGACACAGAGTTGGAGAAGATCATAAAGTATCAAGATCTGAAAATTGAAGTTGAAAAATTATGGGATAAACTGGCAGCGGTGGTCCCAGTGGTTATCAGTATACTGGGTGCCAGACCAAAAAGCCTAGGAGAGCACTTAGAAAATCTGCTCATTGACAAAATTTCCATCTGTCAATTACAAAAGGCCACACTGCTTGGATCCGGACTTATACTATGCCGATACATCTTAGGTTCTTGGGAAGAACTTGATGCAAACTCAATGCGAATGAAAGTCAACATCAGCCAAAGAACTGTGATTTCATGCTGTTGTTTATATAGTAGTAATAATGTGCAACCAACCATAACAACAACAACAACAACAACAACAACAATGGTGAGACCACAAAACAGACCAAGTAATGAAGAAGCTAAAGTGCTTCCATCCCAGACTTAACAATTGACAAAAAAGTCTGGATAGTGGATATTGCAATACCTGGAGGCAGCAGAATAGAAGAGAAAGAACTGGAGAAAATAATAAAATATAAAGACCTGCAAATAGAAGTAGAATGGCTGTGGCAAAAGAAAGTGAAGATAGTACCAACAGTTATAGGCGCCTTGGGTGCAATCCCAAAACATCTGGAGCACCACTCAAACACCATCGGCATTGACAAAATCACC